AAAACTCAGGGGACTGTGAACGAGTGGGAGGAGTAAGTGAAGCTGGTGGAATCCTGACATAGCTAAAGTAATACTACAATAAACAGAGGTAAGGCTCACCCTATTTAGGTTGGTTCAAGCTGTCCTAATATTTATTCTGTTGTCCGTATATTTATTCCCTTACAGCCTTACAGTCTAAGCTCACTTGAACCAATGCCAAGTGTTAGGTGGAGCTCTTAAATATCAGAGTCTGGGGGACACTCAGCATTATATGCTGATCTGCTTACAAATCGAGCCCTGAGTCCTTTGCAACATCTCCTTAAATACTAGACCAAGATAGAACCCTCTTCAGATTCAGATTCAGATTCATTTTATTGTCATTGACAAAATACAAGTACAAAGCCAACGAAATATAATTAGCATCTGACCAGAAGTGCAAACAATAGTAATAATTTAAAAGAAAACATAAAAAAGCTACAGTTGCAATATATAAATATGAATAAATAAGTACAGTTGCAGGGACCAGCTCAATGCAATGTCTCAGAAATTGGAGGTAGTGTTTTCAGCATCTTGACCGCAGATGGGCAGAAACTGTTCCTAAATCTGCTCGTACGACAGCGAAAGCTCCTATATCGTCTCCCAGATGGAAGAAGAGTAAATAGTCCATGGGTGGGGTGAGAAGCGTCTTTAATAATGCATCTTGCCCTTCGTAGGCATGGCCTAAAGTAAATGTCTTGTATTGAGGGCAATTTAGCACCAATGATGTTTTGGGCTGTTTTGACCACACGTTGGAGGGCTTTCTGGTCTGAAACAGTGCAGTTGCCATACCACACTATGATGCAGTTTGTTAGGATGCTTTGAATTACACATAGATAAAAGTTCTGCAAAATAGGAGGGGACAGATGGGCTTTCTTTAATTTCCTAAGAAAGTAGAGGCGCTGTTGTGCCTTTTTGATGAGACTAGAAGTGTTGATAGTCCAAAAATCCTCAGAAATATGAACACCCAAAAATTTAAAACTGGTCACTCGTTCCACTTGAGACCCATTAATATAAATGGGAGTGTGTGTAGCCTTTCTTAGACCGCCGATAATCAGCTCCTTGGTTTTCTGGGTATTGAGTATAAGATTATTGGATGCACACCACTCTACCAGGTCCTGAACCTCTGTAGGCATCTTCATTATTATCGCTGACCAAGCCTACCACAGTGATATCATCTGCAAACTTAATTATAGAGTTTGAGACATGCACAGGTTGGCAGTTGTAGGTAAAGAGAGAGTAGAGGATTGGGCTCAAAACACAGCCCTGTGGCACACCAGTGTTCAAGGTGAGGATAGAGGAGTGATGGTTGTCGATCCTGACTGTGGTCTGTTAGTGAGGAAGTCCAGGAACCAGTTGCAGAGGGAAGGGCTGATGCTGAGTTCAGTGAGCTTAGAGATCAACTTGGATGGGATCACAGTATTGAAAGCAGAACTAAAATCAATAAATAACATTCTAACATATGTATTGCTTTTATCCAGGTGATTCAAAGAAGTGTGGAGCTGAGGCAATGGCATCTTCAGTTGATCTGTTGGATTTGTAGGCAAACTGAAATGGGTCAAGTGCTGGGGGCAGCCACTTTTTCAGATGGGAGAGAACCAGCCTCTCAAAACACTTAGCGATAATTGGCGTGAGGGCAACAGGACGAAAGTCATTAAGGGCCAGTCCAGCTCCATGTTTTGGTACTGGCACAATAGTGGTTGTTTTGAAACAGGTCGGAACAATGGCCTGGGCCAGAGAGAGGTTAAAGATATTGGTGAAGACATCTGCCAGCTGTTCAGCGCATGCCCTAAGCACTCGGCCTGGAATGCCATCAGGGCCAGACGCTTTATGTGCATTCACCCTGCTCAGGGCAGAGCACACGTCATCGGTGGTAAGTGTGAGCGGCAGATGATCAGGTGGAAGCTCAGCTTCGATAGGAGATTCTGTATTTTCCAAATTGAAGCGAGCATAAAAGACGTTCAGATCGTCAAGGAGAGTAGGCTTGCTGGTTGAATAGTTGCTGTTATATGGTTTATAATCCGTGATAGCATGAATGCCTCTCCACATGCGATGAGGATCTTTGTTGTTAAACTTATCCTCATTCCGGACTTTGTGATTATGTTTAGCTGCTTTGATACCCCTTCTCAGATTGGCTCTGGATAAACTGTAGGCATCCCTGTCGCCAGTTTTAAAGGCAGCATCACATGCTTTTAACAGGAGTTGAACTTCCTTGTTCATCCAGGGTTTCTGATTTGGGAATACTTTAATAATTTTTTGGGTGGATACTTTGTCAACGCACCTGTTGATGTAGTGCAGAACGGAACTTGTGTAGATATTAATGTCTGTATGAGAGACCAAAGTAGCTTGACGAGCAAATATAGTCCAGTCTGTATTCTGAAATTCTTGCTGTAATAAAGAGTCGGCGTCCTCTAGCCACACTTTTACAGTCTTCACAGTAGGTTTCACACGTTTAATAACGGGGGTGTATTTGGGCAGTAAGAGCAGAGATAAATGATCAGATTGTCCCCCCATGGGGCTGGGGGATAGCTTTGTCGGCATCAGAGATGTTTGTATAAACATTATCAAGAGTGTTACTCTTGTAGGGCATGAGACATTTTGATAAAATTTGGGGAGTACTAACCTCAAATTGGCATGGTTAAAATCACCAGCAATAGACCTTATTCAGAGCAGCGCCATGACAGGTATGAAAGTGAGGCTGTGAGGGATAGACTTACCGTGTTTCCAATGGCATCCGCTGTAAAAAGCTGAATAAAGCGGCTAGATTACTTACAATTTTCCACAGCTTACATTGTCGGGAGTTTTTTGTCAACTGACATTTCTTGGAAAGATATTTTTCCAGTGTTTCATGAGCAGAACAATCCGAAAACACATTAAATAGGAGTACAGCCCATTGAAGAGATGCTCACAGCCTCGCTTTCATTCTCATTAAAAATCATAGATGGCGCTGCCGTGAATAAGGCGTATGATAAAAGTACCATCTGGATGCGCTGTCTGCAGCTTATTAACAGCGGAAATGAGATCTTTCATAGCTAGTTTAGCAGTGGCATCCGGGGGTACATAAACAACAGTGATTATGATAGATGAAAACTCACGGGGCAAGTGGAGACATGAGTTAAGACATGAGTCTTCTAATGGAGTTAACAATGGGATTTTGCATTAATCAAGGCCCCAGATCAGGGTAGTTGACACTTTTTGGGAACAGAAAGTAATTTACATGAAAAACCCTGGGAAAAACCCATCACAGTAAGCAAAGTATCTCTAAACTCTTAAAACCTTTATTACCTTTTGGTTTACTTCTGTGGAGACGAGACCATTGTATCAATCGCATGGAGACATTTCAAAGACCATTTTGCAAAATGTAAACAACACTAGTCCAGAAGCACTTCCTGTTTCAGTTTTTTAACACTACATAAAAGCTGGGATAAGATACAACCAACAGAACATATAAAACTGAATCAAAAAGTTAAACAAACATCTTTAAGAGGTTTTCTTTAAATGTGAAATAAAGAAAACAGTTACAAACTGAAACAGGAAGTGTTTCTGGACCAGTGTTGTTTACATCTTGCAAAATGGTCCATAGTGTTGTATTATGATTGTTCACATTAAACCATATACATTTTTGGGTACATTTCAGGTGATCTCAGCATGTAGAGGGAAGAGATGTGGGATGAGGGGGTAAAGGGAAGGAATGCCGATAAGACAGTAGACACTGAGGTGTGATCTCAATGTGATTTTGTTCTCAGATGGGGGATGCTAATTTTGAAAGAGAGGGTTCAAATATGAACATCCAGAGATGTCCTGTTCTCTTAGAAAATAGCCCATCTCTAAGCCTATTTCTGACAGTTTCAATGAACGGTTCCGCATAGATGTCACCGCGCATTTCTTTCGTAACAACTTAGTGTCATGATGTTACATCAAGATAACATTCAAGTAAAATAATTTGTCAACACATAGTGAAACATTCAAATAAAAAGTTATTTGTGTGAAGAACGCATATTGCTGTTTATACTTCATCCTACCCATTAAAAAGGCCTACTTCATTCCTTCTAATGAATAAAACCTGGCACTTTATTTCCACTTTTCAAATATTTTTTTTAATCTAAAATAAATACATCACAAGGCTGTATACAGTGAAAAAAGGGAGTAAGAATAAGTTTGGAAAAAGGCCGGTTCAAACTCGGTTGTGTGAAAAGCTGCATTCACAAATGCGGGAAATGGAATGGGGAAACACGCAAGTTCTCAAGACACTTGAAGTTGAATTTCTTTGTGCTGCATTTTTAGAAAGCCTTGCCATGCGTGAAAAAAAAAGTTGTGTAAAAAGTTGTGTTCATCTGTGATAATTATCTTGATGGACAAAACGTGCAAATATCATAAAGTTGTTGATCACAGGGCTTGTTTTTAGTGAAAATCCAAAAGCCAGTGGGAAAATCCTATTGGGTTTTTCATCTAGGGTTTTAGTCGAAACTGCCAGTTGTCCCACAAAGTGATGTCATACCTGCACACACTCTATTCAAACAGTAAACAGTAAACACCAGTAAAGCTCCCTTGATCTATTATAAACATAAAATATAAATATAAATATCTCTAGATAGATCAGTGGAGCAAACGCAAACTGTATTCCATGTCCCTTTAGGGGCATTTCATGGTTATTATTTTATTTTTTCTCTTTTATACAGTGTGTGTTAATGCATTTTAACTATTATGGATGGGTTGGCTGTAAAACTGAATTGCCCCTTGGGGATTAATAAGGTATCTGAATCTGAAAACAGTTTATTTGACTTTAAGTAAATAATCTGATAGTTCACATTTAGCAACAGAAAAAGCCACAAGTGAAAAAATGTCATATTAGTGATCACTTGTGGCTTTTTCTGTTGTTTTTTCTTTATTTCAAGTGCCTTAGCTTGGGTATGTCGTTTCAACATGGGAACTTTTATAGTACGGGTCGAGTTTCTGAGGAAATATTTAATGGTTGCACTTAAAGAATCCATTGATCCAGTGTAGTAGCCATAGACAGTAAAGGGTAGTAGCTGACGGACTCTGGAAGTAGGCATGCGAGTAAATAATTGTGATGTTTTATAGTAGATAGAGTAAATCATTTAAATGATTCCAAAAAAATATATGCTAGAGAGGTGTTAAGACTGCTATAGAAATCAGCGGTCTTGAGCTAAGTTACTATTTGCAATATCTCCATACGATCTCGGATAAAATTTAAAAGAACGCAATGGATGTGGCACACGTACTTCAGGAGATGAAAATCGGAGACAAAGGTTCCTGCTCTGTTCTTGCAGCGTTGAGCCACATTCGTGAGCATTTCGAGGTGGAAGATGCACATGAGAATCGCTTGCGCATCTTGGAATACACAGCGGAGCTGCTCGCAAACGCTCCTCTTTCTTGGCTCTTTCCTGGAGGGAACACTGATTTACGAGGCCAGTATTTGGGCTTAGTGAACTCATTTACCCGTTACGCTGCCCTGCCAGTATGTGAAACAGACAGCGGCACTTTACCTGCTAATAATTACGAGGACATACCGGCCAAAGCTCAAGCTGTTATCACAGTGCTTCTTGCGTTGTCTCTGCAGATTCAGAATGCACTGGAGGATCAAAACAGTCCAGCTATCATGTCTCTAGTTCGCACACTAGTGCCCACCTACTGTATATTCTCCATTACACACTTGCAGGAGCAGCCTTGGACAAGTGCAGCCTCCAGAAAAAGAGCTCTGGAACTCTTAACGTCAGTAGTGGAATTGACAGGCAGCAGGTCAGTGGAAGAGCTGCTGTCTGGAAAACTTGATGAGGACCAGAAAGGAGTTCTGGGGCCAGTTCTTGACACACTGCAGCCAGAATTAACCAAGTGAGTTTCATAAAGTCACAGCATCAGTACAAAAGCTCTGCTTTTTTCCCCCTTACGTTTTCTTAACACCCCTAATATTTTGTTCATAACGTTAAATGATTTTTTTTTTTTTGGTAACACTTAATTTTAGTCCTGTTCCCCATGTACATGCATAACATATATTCATTATAGCATTTGAACCTTAACCCATATTTGTACTTTCTTTGGTAGGCACACTGTAAGTACACATACTGTAAAATAAAGTGTAACCAGTATAATTTTTAATTAACTCAAAAATATTTCATCAGCTAGACAGTGGTGGTCTTGTTTTATTGGTCTTTAAACAACCAATTATTTTAAATAAATTAGTCAAAAAGATTTATTAGAGAATTGGTCTGAATCAAAACAACTTTTTATAACCCATTTCCATTAATCACAAATCACAGGAAACATTGTGGAACAATCATTGGAATTCATTGGTCAAAAACAAGTCAAGTCACCTTTATTTATAATTTTTTACAGTTTTTTTCAAAGCAGCTTTACAAAAATAAGCAGGAAAATAACAATCAATGATGAAAAATCTAATTCTGCTGTAAAGCAACTCTAAAAAGACAAGTGTCATTATTCAACTCAAGTCAGTTCAGTGTTGATTCAGTTCAATAATTGCTAATCAATAAAAGTTAATCAGTTATGAAATGAGTTCAATTCAACTTTAAGCATCTCCACAGAACACAAAAGTGTTGTTATTCAGCTCGATTCAGACCAATTTCGGACTAAAACAAAGTCGATTCAGCTTTTAGGCAGCTCTGCTGGAGACAACAGTGTCATGATGGTCCAGCTCAATTCAGTGTGTGTCAGTAGTCTAAGTACAGTCAAGTCAGTAATATTACTGAATATTAAGTGTCTTTTAAACTCCAGCTAAGAAAGACTGAGACAATTGTGGCAAGGAACCCAAACTCCATCAGGTCACAGAAATTGAGAAAAAAAAAAACATATATGCTAGCATGTTAAATGTATCATTTAATTGCATAACACATACTGTATTTAGAGCTGCTTCAGTAGGGCTCAGTGCTGAGGATTGGGTCAGTGGTTCAAATGTTTAGACAGCAGTGAAATATCACAATACTCTATTCCAATTGTGATACTACAGCAAAACTATAGCTTAATTAATGTAAATTTAAAACATTATTTAAGACAAGTAAGCAGTCAGTAATACAAACCCGATTCCAAATAAGTTGGGACACTGTACAAATTGTGAGTAAAAAAGAATGGAATAATTTAGAAATCTCATAAACTTATATTTTATTCACAATAGAATATAAATGACATATCAAATGTTAAAAGTGAGACATTTTGAATTGCCATGCCAAATATTGGCTCCTTTTGGATTTCATGAGAGCTACAAATTCCAAAAAAGTTGGGACAGGTAGCAATAAGAGGCCAGAAAAGTTAAATGTACATATAAGGAACAGCTGGAGGACCAATTTGCAACTTATTAGGTCAATTGGCAACATGATTGGGTATAAAAAGAGCCTCTCAGAGTGGCAGTGTCTCTCAGAAGTCAAGATGGGCAGAGGATCACCAATTCCCCCAATGCTGAGGCAAAAAATAGTGGAGCAATATCAGAAAGGAGTTTCTCAGAGAAAAATTGCAAAGAGTTTTAAGTTATCATCATCTACAGTGCATAATATCATCCAAAGATTCAGAGAATCTAGAACAATCTCTGTGCGTAAGGGTCAAGGCCGGAAAACCATACTGAATGCCCGTGATCTTCAGGCCCTTAGACGGCACTGCATCACACACATGCTACTGTAATGGAAATCACAACATGGGCTCAAGAATACTTCCAGAAAACATTGTCAGTGAACACAATCCACCGTGCCATTCACCGTTGCCGGCTAAAGCTCTATAGGTCAAAAAAGAAGCCATATCTAAACGGGAACCAGAACCGCAGGCGTTTTCTCTGGGCCAAGGCTCATTTAAAGTGGACTCTAGCAAAGTGGAAAACTGTTCTGTGGTCAGACGAATCAAAATTTGAAGTTCTTTTTGGAAAACTGGGACGCCATGTCATCCGGACTAAAGTGGACAAGGACAACCCAAGTTGTTATCAGCGCTCAGTTCAGAAGCCTGCATCTCTGATGGTATGGGGTTGCATGAGTGCGTGTGGCATGGGCAGCTTACACATCTGGAAAGGCACCATCAATGCTGAAAGGTATATCCAAGTTCTAGAACAACATATGCTCCCATCCAGACATCGTCTCTTTCAGGGAAGACCTTGTATTTTCCAACAAGACAATGCCAAACCACATACTGCATCAATTACAACATCATGGCTGCGTAGAAGAAGGATCCGGGTACTGAAATGGCCAGCCTGCAGTCCAGATCTTTCACCCATAGAAAACATTTGGCGCATCATAAAGAGGAAGATGCAACAAAGAAGACCTAAGACAGTTGAGCAGCTAGAAGCCTTTATTAGACAAGAATGGGACAACATTCCTATTCCTAAACTTGAGCAACTTGTCTCCTCAGTCCCCAGACGTTTGCAGACTGTTATTAAAAGAAGAGGGGATGCCACACAGTGGTAAAAATGGCCTTGTCCCAACTTTTTTTTTCGAGATGTGTTGATGCCATGAAATTTAAAATCAACTTATGTTTCCCTTAAAATTATGCATTTTCTCAGTTTAAACATTTGATATGTCATCTATGTTGTATTCTAAATATAATATTGAAATTTTAAACTTCCACATCATTGCATTCTGTTTTTATTCACAATTTGTACAGTGTCCCAACTTTTATGGAATTCGGTTTGTATAATTAAAACAAATAATCAAATTACATATAGCACAATAATATAAATAAATACAATTGAACAAAGAAAGGCTAAAATTGAACTAAACAGCTGTTTTCTTCTCTCCAGGTAGCTCTGACAGTAGTTGTCAGGTACATCATTTGAATAAACTAATCAAATGTGAAATATTCATATCTATCTCTCTCTCTCTCTTTCTCTTTCACCCTCTCTCTCCCTCTCTCTCCCGTCAGTTAATGTGCCTCGTTTTACCTTTTTTCCATTTACATATCCGACCAGACTACAACTTTCCATTGATGTCTGTGAAAGGGATGTGCGCGACAAGCTCGCACAGCTGTTCCACTGCGCTCTCAATCCACTGCGTGTTTTTTCACTTATCAGCTCACGCACCACAGCTATAGGTGGCATTACTATATTTTGTTTAATATTTCACTAATAGATACATTTACTTTACAGACAGCTTTCTCTTTTATCCTCAATTATACTCTCTGTTGTTTGCTCAGTGTTTCTTTGCCTGGATACAAACACTGTGCACATGCTGTGTGGTATCAGTTGTTAATATCGGGACGTTTTTATGACTACGACGGGCGCAGTGTCGGGCCCTATACTGATACTGGTATCCCTAATTTTGTCTGTAGTAAACATTCCGATATAGAAAAGAGTGTGAGTCATGTTAATTTTCTGGTCATTGTGTAGATGATCAAGTTGCAATTAAAAACAGCTTGACCGGAGCATATTTCTAAGAGTCTGCTATTCTTTTCTAAATTACAACACAGAAATGACCCAAGAGTACATAATAATAATAATAATAATAATAATAATAATAATATGGTATTAAATGCACTAAAGCATGTCCTTTATTCTGTTCAGGGAGAGCTGGAAGCGTAACCAGGCAGTGAAGCATGTGTTCTCCTGGGTGCTGGTTCAGGTTGGACGACCCTGTTTAACGGAGTATTTGGAGAAGGTGTTTCCGCCCTCTTTGCTTATATCTGATGATTATCACACAGAAAACAAAGTATTGGGTGTGCACTGCCTGCATCACATTGTTCTCAATGTGGTAAGTCATTTTTGAAAATATTTTGTCACCGCAACTTCAAACTGTCTTTTTATGCAAAAAATGTTTCAGAATCTAAATCTACCTACTGAGCTGCATTATAAGGCATCATAAAATGCAACATTTAATGAATTCTAGAATTACCTTTGCATTCAAGTAAGCTCCATGAAATTAACCATTTTTAACAATTAACAATTAAATTTCCATGAAATTTTCACAATTAACTATATTTCTGAAACTTATATGCCAACGGTGACAGTTCAAAAATAGGAAAAAGCACTTATTGTGTTTATTGCCCGAAGTCTGCATGTCTGTAACCCCAGAAGTATTAAAGATAACTTAATATCCTTTTAGATTCTGTTTTTTTTTTTTTACAAGCATTTCTTTAGATATCTTCATTTTAAAGGCCTTGTAAGGTTAAAACCCAGATATATGCACTTCTTGGGGTTTCATGAGTCGATTGGTAAATCTTACAGATTTCTAGTGGTTGAAAAGCAAATGTGGGTCACTTTGCATACAGCTGAGCTGATATTTTTTTCTTTTAAAGAGGAATATCTGAAGAACAAATAATGTGTATCGGTTTTTTCTATCAAGTTGCATAGAATATACCTGTCAGAGTGCCACAAATACTCTTTTTCCAAAGTTTGTGTGCCTGTGTACCCATTTTCAATGGTTGAAAATCAAATATGGTTCACTTTCACATGATACTTAATTCCATTTAAAGGGGAATGTCTGAAGAATAAATTGTTGAAACTTGAAATGATATTGTTTCCCTCTATCAAAACAACTGCATAAAACATACCCATCTGAGTGGAAGAAAATACACAGAAATGGTCAAGTTGAGGCACATTAACTTGCTTTCAAAAGTGTATCTATATTTAGTGTGTCTATATTTGAATCAGTCTCAGAGATAATTGGAAGTAGTTATTTTTTTTCTTAATTTAACAGCTTCTGAGAGTTCAAATAAGCAGTTTCGTAACCAATTGTTACCACATTGACATCCATCCAAACATTTCTTAAATCAGATAGGGCCTTAAAAATTTAAATAAAATAAAATAAAATGTAGAATCTTGAAGAATATTAAGAGATATTTAATACTTATTGAGTTACAGCCATGCATATATTCTATATATATATATATATATATATATATTATTATATATATATATATATATATATATATATATATATATATATATATATATATATGCATATATTCTATGCAATTGTGTAAATAGAAAAATATATATTTTTTTAGTTTCTTGCATTTTTAGTTTCATCATTATTTACCACTGAAAATGTGTACAGCTCATGGAGCTACATTAAGATATCCATATTGCTGGGATTGAATCATATAGGGCCTTTAAAATATTTATAACAAAAGAAAAGTTTGATTAAAAAAAATAATCTAAAGGGATATTAAGATATCTTTAATACTTGGGAAAAAACAGTGTTTTTTTCCCATTTTTGAACATTGGTATACAGTATAATGCAACAAAGTTGACAGATTGTTCTAATAGACCTACCAATCTCTGTGTAAAAATAAAATATTGATGCTGCCATCTTTTTAGTGTCATGATTTTTACCCCACTGTAATTTGGCTCCAAAGCTCAAGTGAAAATCTCCACAAAATAGTGGATTACGCATACATTCAAGAAAATACTTCGTTTTTTTCTTTCTTTATACATTTCTTTCACCAGATTTTTTTTATTTAAATAAACGTTTTAGCTGTGGACCACTTGTTGAGTTGACATGGAATGACCCTTAAATTATGTGCTCCTGACATTCATAAGAGAGACATCAATCCCTGGAGAACATTATAAGTCATTGTATTTTTTTAATTGACAGAAGTATATGATGTGTGTTCATTTGTCTTTCTCCTTCCTTAGCCTGGTGCTGATCTGAGGCAGTTCAACAGAGCTCAGGTGCTCTATCATGCTGTATTCAATCACTTACACACATCGGAGGCCACGCTTATACAGGTGATGCTTTCACGTGTGCTTACTTGAATGCAGATGTGTGGTTTTCATTTTTAGATTAGGTTATGTATCTTGTCTCTTTTGTATTATCTTCAGGTTGTGCTGCCCTGCCTTATAGACTTGCTGTCAGTCCTTGAGAAACCTCCAGCCCTTGCAGCTACACGGCGTAAACAAAATCGATTTGACAATATGCTCCGGCACGTGTTGACATACATGGAAATGGAGCACAAGCGTGACCTTCGTTGTGTATATGCCAGAAATCTTGTCTTACTGATTGAGAGGTGAGGACTACATTATTATGGTAGCCATCTCAATATTAGTTGTTTCAATAATTGGTTCCTACTATATGCAGCACTTGCTAATAATTGTCGTCAAACAGATTGCTATTGGGTTAGTTCACCCAAATATGAAAATTATATCATCATTTACTCACCGTCATGTTGTTCCAAACCCATAAAACCTTTGTTCATAAACAGTATTTTTAATATTTTCTAATCATTCTTGTCCATCCATTGAAAGTGTCCTTGTTTTGTGAGTGACTAGAAAATTTGGGTGAAAATTGCAGTATAATAATCAATAATAATTTTTCGTGCACATTTAGAATATTCTTATCTAGATTTGCGAAATTGTGATAACATTGCTCATCTTTAAATATTTTTATGTTCCAAGTTGTCTGTCATTTATTATTTCATATTGTTATCTTAAAGGATTGGTATAGTAATTATTCGTCACATGAAAAGGCTGGAGAGGGTGATTGTTGGCTATTTGGAAGTCTCGGATGCTCCAGAGGAGAAATGCAGACTGAATATCCTGGAGGCTCTGCAAAAGACTCTACAGATTGCTTGGCCATGGTGACCACTATACATCACCAATGCTTCAGTGCGACTACATGAAATTGACTTTTTAATTCAGTTCTGAGATTATTTCACTCTCTTCTTGTATGCTTATTTCAGATGTATTGTTGCTTAATACTCTAAAACACAATGTTTTTATTTTTTTTACATGTATCTCTCTAGTATGGAGAAGAGGATGGGTTTGCTAACTCAGAGTCTTCTGAAGTTTCTGGTTGACATTTCATCAGACTCATTACCCACTCAGCTGAAAGAGCACCTCATGACTGAAGCATCCCAATGTTTACTGCTGCTCAACCACTGCTCAAAGGGAAAACTACAGGTGAGAATATCGATTCTTAATTTTGTGAAATTTTGTGATTATAAAAGGACCAACTTCAACCAGAGAAGTAAAAACTGTCATCCTGTACTTGTTTTCAGATAAAAGTTGATGAAAATTAAAAATTTTAAACCGTTATATTATCAATTTTTAAGCCTAATCTTCTTTATAAGGGACTAATTAGAATTTACTAATCTTCTGAGATCTTGTTCTTCTGATAGATATTGCATGCAGTTTCTACATGTATTAAATCCACTTTCCCATTTTCTCCTTGCCTTATTTCACACTTTTTTAGACTCTTCTGAGAGAGATAGACAGCAGTTGTGTCCCTGACGCTGTGTTGATGTGTATTCAGAAAGTAACTGCAGCACCACTGTGTCAATAAGCTGTAAGCTGGTAAAAATACTTGCCCCTTTTCCCATTTATGGAGGTGAAGTTAGCTGAGTAAAATCTGTAATAAAATATACTGTAATACTCTCTGTGTTTGGACTATCCAACTGTTTATACGTATTTGAGAGAGCGAGAGAGAGAAATAAAATAAAGCTAAAACAACCTGACTTGAGAGTTGATTTCCTCTAAAGTCTTTTCTCAATTACCTTTTAAATGAACATTTTAAATAAACTGTACTTCTTGTTGTACACAGCCAGGTCTCTTTTAAAGTGACCATACAAAATGCAGGTGTTTGTCCTTAGTAAATGCATTTGTAAATACACGTTATACTTTTGTTATAATTTACTTCAGGTAACCTGCAAATTCATTTTTATTCATAGTGCTTTGTTTTGGTATTATGTGTTCAAATTCATTTTTATTCATAGTGCTTTGTTTTGGTATTAGGTGTCGCATCATGTTTTCTCAACTGCGTAAGTTAAATGTCAACCAGCTTTTCACTACAAATTCATATATATATATATATATATATATATATATATGTACATACACATATATATACACAGTAGGAAAAATAATTATTTGATCCCCTGGGCCCGGTTTTTCAAAAGTAATCCACTAGGATTTTGGATAATGGATTGGATCAAATCTTGAAAATGGGTTTTTCAAAAGAAAAAAAATGGATTACATAATTGGTTTAGATCATGTAATCCAATCTTGGTTTTGATCCAGATCAAAGCTTTAGTTTGGGTTTTTCAGAACTTTTTTGTAGGATTTGGATCACTTTGATCCAAAAAATCTGGATTAAACTGATCCCATCAGAAGGGCAGATTCAGCGTGGATTTCATGCCCAAAATGTAATGAAAGCTTTAAAAATGTATCAAATAATACTATATTTGGATCATGCACTATCTTACAAGATATCCTATTTATTCATAAGTTTTTACAGTGATTAGGCAGGCTTTAACGTATTCAGCCTTTCAGTATAGGCCTACAGCAAAGTAGAAAGAGTTTGGCCTCATAAAATAATCCCCCAAACAGCTGTCAAAATTGACCAAAAACAATAAATTTTTATTCTGTCTATATATATATATATACATGTATATATATATTCATAACAATCAAAAATATTTGTTTTTAGAATACTTATTAGTGATGCATGCTATGATTACAGAATAACAACAAAAAAATAAAATATGCAAAGAATGGCAATCACTGATTTTTGAAATCCAAAACAGAAATAGCATCTTACTATTGCATTCCTTGTTGCACGTCCTGTTTTCTGTCTGCCTGTTTGGCAGAGGAACAACTGACTCTGACCAAACTGCAGCAAGGCCAGACTTGAGATCTGCCTCCTAAAGGCTACGCTCAGACAAGCTGGTCTCTCCACATCAGATGAGGAAGTCTGAAATTATTGTTAGTATTTGACATTAAATCTTTTTTTTTAATTCAATACATCTATATTTGAAACTTGTTATAAATATCCTCAATGTACAGTGTTTGTTACTTGCTTTGTCTACTTGTTTCTTTTTACATATCTATAGTTCTACATTGTGATTTTTAAAATAAACCTACCATAAAAGTGATAGACGCTTCATTTCTTTGTAAGTGGGAAAATTTACAAGATTAGCAGGGGATCAAAAGTTATTTTCCTCACTGTATATATATTGCACAGTGGATACTAGAGGTGCTCTAAGGAGGGACGTTTCTTCTATATATTATTATTATTATTATTTATTGCTCCTCCCTCTTAACGGAGATATTTAGGGCCACTAAATCCTGCAATCTGCTATAATACTAACAGCACTGCAGTTTTTAATAAAATCACAAGCATTGATCTTCTAGTGATCTGCTGTGTAATTGTTGGTGGGTGTATGACATGTAAAAGATGCATTCAAACACAACACTTAATGTATAAATGTTACTTTTTTGCCATTACAACACCAGCTACAGTCAAACTAACAGGCATTAAAATATCTCACACAAATAAAGTTTATTATTGCATGAAAATGGGTCAAATTTGACCCAAAAGTACACAACGGAAGATCATAAAACAAAAACTGATGCTTTGCAACACCATAAGAACAATCCCAGGACACTAAAGATGTTGATTATTGTACATTGTTATTAAATGTAAGTGTGTAAAAGATCATGTTCCATGATTTGAAAATATTCCAGAGTTCAGAGTTACAACTGTTGGTGTGCAGATCAGTTTAGTCTCTACATGGCATTGCTTTTCTGAGCTGGTTCTATCTCTTGTTCATATTCTATCTCCACATTGGCCCGTTTTTTCCTGATTGGGCCTTTGAGTGGAGCTTTTCCTTTCATTTTGGCCTTGGTCTTTTCCTGCAATTCTTCCTCACCGAATTCCTCTTCCTCATCCTCATCACTGCTTCCCTTCAAGTTGTTCATATCCTGTAAAACAAAATCAGGATTTAGATAATGTCATTTAGATATTAAATCATATTTTTTTATTTAAAGGGGACAGATCATGCAAAATCCACTTTTTTAGCCCTTAAATGCATTTTGTTGTATATTTGGAGTGTTTATAAGTGAAGAAAAGATTAAATTATTCTCTTCAGGTGATTCGTTTATATCTTTATATTCTGTTTTGGTCATATTTTTCAACCTCTTCCGATTTTTCTGTTGTCTATGACGTTTTTTGAGCAAGTGCGTCACCGTATAAGGACATCGACTACCGGTCAAACACTTCGAGCAATCCGCCATTATTATTTCTCGCTCCGATTTTGTGGTCCGAGCTCAATGATGCAGAAGGTACGAGAGGGCAAGTCAAAATGTTCGGTTGTTGGATGTACGTTAGTGACCTGAAGCACTTCAAGGATTCCCACTTCAACAACCTCCGCCAGTATAAAGAAGAGTTTGCCGATTGACTTCGTCTGAATGAGAGGCAAGTTCCTTCTATCTTTGGAGACGACGAACAGAGCAGTTCGATAGGCTGTAAATATCGTTAATACAAATAAAGTACTTTACTTTCTTAAAACACATGGTGGTCATGGTTTAGCAGTACCTTTGTCGTTCTTTGTTTTTGTTTTGCAGTAACATTACACGTCTGCAGTATTATTGTTCTTGAGTTTCATCAATGGTCATTTACGTTAGCTGCGTTGTTTTCTGATGCTTTTCTAAACGCATCATATTGTCAATACAGATTTTTTTGTGGTAAGATTAGACCGTAGTCATTTATCTTGTCAGTGTGCTTGTTTTAACAAGAGAAATAGTCGACTTTCACTAATAACACAAAACAGTTAACTCACATACCAATATATCCATATGAAGAGGTTGTTCTGCAGGTTCGTCGTCATCTTTATCAACTCGCTCGCTCTGGCTCGAATATGTAAGGCTTGATGGACAAGTCTTCTGTTGTTGACATTTTATTAAAGTGTGAATAAAAATGTTCTTTGAAGGTATCATATATAATCGTATCTCTAATCAAACTACAATAATGGCCGAACGTGGGGAGTTGAACTGACCGTGAACTCATCGACCTGGAGAGCATGGCGCATCTCCTTTTTATTTAAAGGGGCCGCGTTTGAAACGGGTCGCTCTAAGACGCACATCAGAAAAGGGGTAGAAAAGGGGCCTGTGGAGCTATAATAATGAGGAATTAAGACCCAAGCATTGCAGTTATGTTTTAATAGACCACAACGGTATGATTTATATGTTAAATAAATGATTTAAAAGCATGATATGTACCCTTTAACTAAAATATGTAAATTACCTCAAAATCACTGAGATCACTCTCTTCAATCTCATCCTCTGCAATAAATTCTCTTGTCCCAGACACCTAAAAGACAGAAAAAAAACTGCTTGGCCAACACAGGGATAAATTAAATATTAAAATAAAATAAGTAATTTTAAATTACAATAATATAATGCAGCCTTGGTGAACATAGGACTTTTTTTAAAAGTCGAACGCAAGAAAAGATCTCACCACCTCCAAAATTTTGAAAAGTGGTGTACATTGTCCTGTAATAGATATACGAGTAATAAAAACGCTGCTGACAGGAAATAAAGTTAATACCTCTCCGTCTTCCTCTGATTCTGATTCAGATTCACTCTCCTCATCCTGTTTTTCCATAGCTTTATCAAAGGCATGGATGGGGAAGTTGTATATGTCTCCATACTAAAATGAAAAAAGAAACTTTAAATGCATTCACTGATCAAGCACAAAACCAGGAAAAGCATGTGCCAAAGATCCACATACTGTTCCTTGTTTTAGACGGTCTAGCAGCTCTTTTTCTATAGCATTTTCCAGCTGAGCAGCAATAAGAGCTTTTTCCTGTTGGAGAGAAGGAAAAGTGAGTAAAGGGGAAGAGAACTCCGCTAAGTCTGTATAAACACTCAAACAAATTAAAAATACAGGATATAAAAAAAATATTCAGAATTGCATGCATCATCAGTAAATCACTCACTTCCCTCCTCTTTTCTCGTCTTTCTACTTTTCTACTGAGTGGAACCAGTTTTCTCCTGGATACAAAAAAGGAACCAGTAAGAGATAACACACACATGGTCAGCCAGGCAATGAAATTACACAAATGTTCAACAACGTTTCGTTAAAGAGCCCCTATCATGGATTTTTGCAAATGTACCGTATATAAAGTTATTGTCTTTCAAAAGTGAGAGTCGACTCTGAGTCTATGAAATTAATTGGTTTTGAAACGAGTCATTAAATGTTACATTGTGACATAGAGACATATTGGCCACGCCCAGTTACTGCGCACGCAGACGGAAGTGTAAACTTGAAGTCTACACATTCAAATACTTCATCATAGCATCATGTCGAGAAGGCGCTGTGTTCTACAATGCAAAGATAGTTCAGCCACTTTGTTTTCATTTACCAGGGACAAGCATGTGAAGAATCTGTGGTTAGAGTTCATATTTGCAACGATACCACAACAGTACAGCCCGATTGTTTTCTCATCATTTTAGTTACGAATCTTTCAAAAACATAAATGAATTCAAATGTGGATTTGCAAGCGGTTGTTCCTGAAGGAGGGCTCAGTAACTTACTTACCCAGTGGATATGGATCAGATTCCTCCTCCGAATCAAAACCTGTAAGTATTATTAATAATTGTTGCTTTTATGGGGTTTGAGCGGTTTTGTAGCGTCGGGGCACGAGGCAATAAGTATGTGTGTGCGCGACTGC